TTTTATCAACCCTTCAAAAAAATTTTCAGAAAAATTGAAAATTTCAATTTTGTCTATAAATATCTCAAAAAAAGTCAAAACATTTTGAAAATTAAATCATGTAAAGAAAATGCCAATTTAAATAACTGGTAAAATTTTCAAGTATCTACAACTTATACTTTTTGAATAATAACAAATATTTAAAATCGTTTGAGGATAAATCGTTATCGTTACACTATTTCGTAAAAATTTAAAATTCAAACGCACTTAAAATTTTTCCTATAATGATGTTTCGAATTTTCTCTATAGCTACTTGAAGGAAAACTAACAGAAAATTTAGTGTTGTATTTTTAATCCTTAGTTATAAACACAAAAAATTTAATGATTTTTCAACTTTAAAATTACTTGCAAATTTTCGCGTTCTCAACAGATTTCGTAAAAATTTGAACTATAAACGCTTATTAAAAAAAATTGTGACTTACGATTTTTAGTTTTTTTTAGCTACAATAAGAACAACTCATAAGGAACCTTGTATTAAATTTACAAGTTTTTTTGGTCGTCCAACATTTTTTTACCGACACTTCAAAAAAAATTTGAATATTTCAGTGGCCTAAAAAAAACTCAAAAATTTGTGAAAATTAAACTGTATATAGATAACACTAACATAAACATTTGGTGAAAATTTCAAGTATTTACAGTGATTAGTTTTTGAATTACAATTTACAACCATATAAAAAAATTGATTTGGTCGAAAACTGGTTTTGCGTTCAAATTCCCGTTTTTCTGTCATTTTTTTTTGTTTTTCTCGATTTTTTTGAAAACTGTTGGAAAATGTTTACTTTTGACTTCTATAATGCTATTCACTTTTACATCGGAAACCACCCCCAAAGTTTGAAATTGAAGCATTATTTCGACTAGTTATGCTGTACACAGACACAGAAACAAAAAAAAACACACATCATTGTAAAATCAATACATTCATCACTTCGTTCAGAATCTAAAATAATTGATACGTTTGATCGAGAATTTGGTTGAACTTATTTGTTTTCGTCGTAAGGTACTTATACTGTACGTAACTTTCTTTTTGCCCCCCTCCCCCCATAAGTATAAAGAAATATGCGTATTATTCAAACGGGTTTTTACTTTCCGGGACTGAAATGCGTACCTCGTGCAACATTTTTTTTCTATATTTTATTTTGTCTCCAAAACGTAAAAATGCTACTGAAACGCAACACACGGATAATACATATAATAACGAGCGTTACGTACAATCGAATGTCTAAAGATTTATTTTTAAATGCATTGTGCCCTTCAGTGCGCGGAGACTCTAGTGCTCGGCGCATTCCCTATTTGGAGAAACAGCTTGTCAGAGAAGTGCTGTCGATAAGCGTTTCGGAATTGAAAAAGAAAGAAAATATGTACCTACAGGCAGAGGTACGTACTGCGCACGATGCTTTCTCAATTATTCATATACCGGGGTTACCTTTAACATGCATACTTGATGCATCGACCATTATTTTAAATCGGGTTTTAATTAGTGACGACGACTATCATATTGTGATGTGTATTTTTTTTCATTTCCGAAACTCTACTCGACAAATAGAACATGTGTAACTCGCGTTTTGGTTGTTTTATTATTTTTTTCTCGCAAGTACTTACTTACATATTCTATCAAAAATTTATTGCAGTAATTTACATATAGTTTGATAAATAATATAATATGAGAGTTTTCGTGGCGGAAGTTCGTTTCATTCCAAAGCCGCGAACGATTTTCTTCGGTGACTTGCGAAAAGAACGCTCCTTGCGGCTCATTATCAACATATTTTATAATATTATTTCCGATTATTGAAGTTTTGCATTCCTCGCCTAGACACTGCAGCTGCAGTCATGCGGTCAGACACATAGTCGTGGCGTTGTGTAATTTAGATTTTTGGATACAACCGGCAACGATCATTCGAATCTGCAAACCAAAAATGTTCAATCATGACTATCTTCTTTATGACGTATGGACGCAATGGATATGGCGTGGCACACGAGTACGTAATAATAACATAATAATAACGCAACTCCCGGTATTGAATATCAATAAAATATTTTGACAGTTATACCTGTCGTGTACGTGTTAATGCAATACCAGTAGGACTGCAAAGCGCATATATTAATATAATGTTAAACGTGGGTGTAAACATTACGTTTTCTTGATACGTCTAAATACGTGTTTCAGCCTAATCGTTTTTTTCTTAACATTCTATCTATATATGTAGGTATTTACTCTTGTCAAACGCATTTCAATCCGTCATATTATTCACGTTGAATATAATATATTGTTTTGAAAAAATGTGATTAGGTTTTACGTTTCGTCAGATTTCAGTCGTACTCGAGTATTGCCGCATCAACGATTAATTAATTTGGAATTTTAGCAATATTATAATAGTAAAACTATGAAACCAAAAACTTTTCCACCAACGAAAGAATATTCTAATAATATTGCACAAGCACAATTTAAAAAAAAAATATTAGCATTAATGTGTAAAATATTGTAGATTATGGTTACCTATATATTATACCTAGTGAAACTATGCATATTATGTTGGCTCACGGTACAACGATAATTTATATTTCTGTTTATACAATATAGTATTAGGTATGTCAAAGATCACATGTGTTGTATTGAATTGCAACTATCTAAATGCTGTTGCAATAATATAGACAACATTATGCAGCTGATAAACATAATAATAATATAATTATTTAAATATTTTTATTTTCAGCATTTATAACACTTCAACTATTCCTTCGGTGTAGGTATTATTTAATCGCAAATGAAGGATTCGTTATAAATTTCCGTGTTTTCGCAATATATCATATTTTGTTTAGAATAGTTTTGGATGTATGAGGTAAAATTTTTTTTTTTTGAGCGGTATCGCGTTTCAAAGAATTTTAAAAAACGTGTCAAATCAACTGCACAGACATTGGAGTTAGGGATAATTATTAATTTCTGCAAAATAGGTTATACCTATAACTGTATAATGACGTATCAAAATGCGTTGTGGCGGCCCACGGCCAAACGGTATACAGTACAAGAATCCGAAGGGTCGTCAAGTGCGTTCGTTTGGTTATTTTTGAAAGTATCCCCCGGTGCAGGTATGTTAACTCACACACACACACACCTGTACACCACCAACGACACACACTACCTGGTACCAACACATAGATAACCAGTCTTCACGTCCACGGGCTAGCGTCAGCTCGTGTCTCGGTGGACTATCGCTCGTCGAATACCAGATCCGCGCTCGTATATTGCTCCTTGTGTTTATATATTAATTAATTTAATTTTAATTTTTTTACATTTTCGTTATCGATTGTAAAATTGTATTGTTGACATTGTGCCCGGCGTAGTGTTTCAATATTGTATTATAATCAAACACTTAAACATTACGTTGAATATTTATAAAAATTCGAATATTATACGCACGCTTCGAATCGAAATCTGACGTCCTCGCTGGATCTGTGGTGCTTTCGATCGACGATGTAATCAAATCGGACGATGCGTCAAAATGGAACTGATTGCATTTTGCTTGTGGCTTTTCGCACTTGTTCCCCGTTGTCAGCCCACCGAATGGGATGGATTCACTCCTTGGTTCACTGGTTCTGGTAAATTACTATTATTAATATTATTATACTATCGTTTTTAAACATCAATTTTTTGTAAATTCACTGAATATTAATTTAAAAATTATATAACAAAGTATTTTAAAAATAGAGTTGAAAAAACTTTTATTCTAGACGATAATAATCAATTATTATTAACTGTACACGCATTTAAATATTGTTATTTTATTTGTGAAAAGCTCCTGTAGATGATAATTATCAATTAATATAAGTTTAAATTACTAGATATTATAAAAATTGATTACGTTTTGTACCTATTTTTTTCCTTACCATTTACAATACCAAGACACAATAACAAAATATGTTTAAAACGACGATTGAGTTATTTTAAAAGGTTAGGTGTGAAAATTTTTTTATCGTGATTCTTTTTTTTTTTTTAACCAGCCAATAGCCATTAAACGCGATGATTTTGTAACAAAACAAATTGCCCGACTCTTCGACGAGCAGCGCAGTGTGCGTCCGAAATGGAATTGGACGCGATGATTTGTTACCCTGCGGTTAAAGTGTACTTATATATATATAGGTACACATATACACACATACATACACATACACAGGCGCGCGTGTCTCATACGGTGAAGTGTGTGGTATGCGCGCAAGTGACTGTAATCACCGGAACGTCGCCGTCCCTCGGTCACTCTGGCCATAATAACGAATAATACCGAATTCTTATATCTACCAGGTTAGGTTAGGTTAGGCTGACTGTAATGGGATTGTCACAGCGGCTAAGAGCGTTTAAACGGTAACTTCAAGATCCTAGCTGGCTGCGGCTAATTAGTCCTTAAGGATGGGAAAAAGGATTATTTCATATGATGCGTCTGATGGAGTGACGCGTGCGTTGTTCTCGAGAAGCCATGGCCGCCCCCGTCACTAATGTACAGGTATACCTATATAGGTACATAATCCGTATATTATGGTCCTGCATAAATTATATAATGACCCGTTCGTGAGGTGTGCCTTTTTACAACCGTCGAAAACCAAGCAGCAGCACTCAAGCTCATCTCATTCTATATACATATATACACAATATTATTGTTATTAGACGATACACTTTTTGTGAACGTAAGAAGATTGATGCATTTTTCACTTGAATGGTACCGTAATTAAAAAATAAAATATATACACACACACGCAGAGATTATAAAAGCGAACGCGACGGCACATATATGTACTTATGTATGACGTAGTACAAATTAACCATAATCAGTAATGTCATCGCGGCGGCAGCGACGATTAGCCTGATCATTTTGTGCGTATATATCATCACTGAATATATAATATGTATAATATGCAGCCCATGAATATGTAGACGATTTTAACAATTACACGGGTGTTGGACGAAACTGATTTTTGACAAGCAGACGCGTCCGCGTCATCCAGATCGATGATTTATTGTGGTATCGTCGTCTCGAAATATCGTTTGATCGCGCATCCATCGTTGACGCGCGTTAAAATCCCTTTTTTTTATACCAGCGTAGGTACCTACACCTATTTAGCACCCGAAGCTCATCACACACTGCACTCGTATATACTCGTGTATTATATATCGTATAGGTATATAATAGAATAAAAGACGACACACATTGTAATTTTATTATTATACATTGTACCTATATATATATAATATACCACCACAGCAGCGAAGAACTTGTGTGCATGCAGCCGCCTCATGTGGAGGGGGTCATTATTAATGTCGAAGTATTATTGTGCGCTTCGCCACCCGATCGTAAATCAATTGTTTATATGGGTATATGCATAGGTGTATAATATGTATAATAAAGTATATATAGAAACTATTACATCCGAGGAGGGTATTTTTTCGTACAGACCTGACCGGTTCTTATCTCGCGCAGGACACGGCGTATTTATATATTATTAATAAGGGAGGGGAGCACGACGATAATTAGACATCTGTGTATTCACGATAATGAATGTTTGCCTCGGGTATGGAAAGACCAAAATTATGTAAATTTCATTGTGATGGCTCCTTCGTTGTGCGATCGTTTTCCCTAAAAACGTCGGCGTGTATAATCGTACTCAGCGGGTAGTGGCGCCATACATACATGTAGTACCTACGTATAAAAAAAATCCCCCAAAAACAACATTACTAAAGAAATCGCGGTTAAACCGACTATACGACTCCCACGCGCGATGCACACTATTTAATGACCGACCCACCACCCACATTTTCCTATTGTTACTTTTAATATCGATTGCACCTGCGGCAAAAAATATCGTTTTTGACACCGCGCTTCGGTCTACTTAAAACGAAAACAATAATCCAAACATTTTTCAAAAGCATAAAATTATTACGCAGAAGAGTCGTGGAGTCGTCCGTTGCGAGTATATTATTTTATTTTATAGTCTCGTCTTATATTATTCACCGATGTCAAAAAATATAAATAACATTGTTATTATATTGTCTATATTTTATATGAAGTTGTCAGCGCGTTTGATATGAATCACATAATATTATATAGCCTATATAGGTATACCTTGAGCTGTATTTAAATGTATAATATAGCAGCTATAACGTAATATACACAATGTGTTGCTGCATGGGTAATCTATACTGAACCGTCATCGATGATTTTGGGCAAGCAATAGGAACATATATACTACTTGTTGGAATTTACGTTGGGAATTTACATAAAGGTGCATCTGTTTGACATATCTATAAGATGACGACTTACTTGTTTTTAAAACGTTTTAGCCAACCCAACCACATGTGTTTAAACTAGTTCGAGTGCGTGCCGAGCCGCATATATTTCGTGATAATATCGTATTTATCTATCAAGTGTTTTAGAGTAGATTACAGAGACTTTAACGCACGCTTGATGGACATCTGTACAATTATTATATTTTTTTTCCGGTACAAAAGATTTTTTCGTGGCACTCATCTAAACGTTCGTATTTCTTCCCGGGGCGTAACGTTTAAAACAATCGATCGTTAATTATAATGTTACGCGTTCGGTTTTCCTTTCTCCCTTACTAAATACTAGTATACCTACCTACCTATACCTACTATAATATAATATTATTATTTATTATGCCGCACATTATACCCCTATACATTATTATATTTAATATGTATGTGCACCGCACCATTAAGAGTTAAATGTATAACGATATGTGTATAACGTAGTACTGTCAATGATAGTTGTTGTTGGTAGCAGAAAAGAAAATCTATACGGCAATTAATGTTGACCTTATGAGGTCATAACAATTATAAACGTCTTTTGTTGTTACCGACTAATGGTAGATAAATACGTTAAAATACCGGGTAACTTATTTTGATCATCGAGATCCACAGAAGACTCTTAATTGGTTAAAAAGTATTTACAAAAGTAAATTACAATTCATGTATATATTATACATAATATATAATATCAGAATTTTAAAAAATAAATGTTAATACTTACTTAATTGTAGTCATGAATAAAACAATAAGGGGTTAGGCTACTTGTTTAAATAATTTTAGAGTTTATGGAGGTACATGATACGCGTATTATGCGATATGCATATTATTGTATATCATGTTCGAGATAATATCTTTTCGTGCTCTAATTTTATGAGAACTCCGTATATAGTATATAACTAGCCTGCACATATTATAAGGTAAAATACGACAAGACTTTCACGTTTCTTTTTTCATCGATATTTTCAATAACATGCTTATAGTCCCTAGCATCATGAGATCGTGATTACTCGTAATCAAATATTATAATAGCGATGATTAAAACAACTAACGATAAAAAAAATTAACGATCGTACATATATGTACCTGCAGCTTGCAGGAAAGTTTATCTATACAACCGAAATCTTTTAAATGACAGATTGTGACTGCAATATAGTAATATTATTAAAATATGTTTTCCAGATTATTTTGTATTTTTATTCAAAAGATTCGATCAAATATAATACAATATAAAAATTGTACTTTTTATTCAACTTATTGTGACAGGTTTTAATCAGCTATTAGCTTTTATTCATTGTAATCATGGATCATTAGGTATTATAACTATAGCTATATTTAAATTATATGGAGTGGAAACATAATATAGGTACCATTGTCATAGACTTGGCAGTCATCAGACGCAATTTGCACGGAATCGCATAAGGTAATGCATGTAACTGTTATGTTATACATTTACGTGAATTTTTCGGTTTAGCCATTCGTTTTAATAATTTATTAAATAATTACTTATTTTTATTAAACTATTCACAAAATATCTATATGCAAAATAATGTACATTATTTAATATTGTGAATTTAAAAATCATATATAGGTATACTTTATTATGTATCTACTTTTCTTTTTCAATTTTTCGTAGATAGTAGATACCCTATATCTTGATTTATGATATTACCTATATATTATATGGTATGAACAATAACTCTTATGAAAACCAATAGGTATTTGAAAAATAAATATATATAAAATAATTTATTTTTTATTTTTATTGTTTAATCAAATTAGGAATCACGTAGTTTATGATTACTATTTAGTATTTTATGACTGTTGTTTATTGAAAAAAAAGCTTGAAATACTATGTAAGACATGGAGAATATTATGTTTATGTATCTACTATACTTGTACAAATTACAAGAATTTGATATATAGAAAATCCACGTTAAATTAACGCAGGAGCACGATGTTTATAACAATAATGTAACAATGAAATAATATTATTAATATTGAATCACGTTGATGATGGACATTGCTGCAATCGCATTTTTAAAACGAGTTCGAACCGTGCAGATCATATCTATAATTTAATCTATATTTTAATTTTAATTTATTCGCATGACATCCGAACAGGCGTGTGTAGGTACATATTTAAAGATGAAAGGGTTGTGGTATGTCACGTATGTGTAAAATAAAGTTCATAATATACCTAATATAATGTTTCAAAGTTTGATCTGTTACATCGTATATAAGTTGATGTAATAAAACCAACATGTTGTTATAAAATAATATA